TACGTGTATGTTATTAGTTAAGTATATGTATAAATACAACAATACATGCGGCCGGGATATTGACAACATGATGATTTAAGTGGTAGTGACAAGTTAAGCCAGGGTCGAGTTATCAGGAGTTCACTGATACACACAATGAGAATGTTCTTAGACTTNAAAAAATTGAATCTTGCAAAGTAAGTTATATGCTTTCTAAATGGACTTTCAGAAAGCCAACAGCTATTGACAGTCTGTCATTTGCATGGATATGAAATCAATCTTTAATTAAGATGTTTTTCTATTCTAATGGAACCACTTTCAACAACAACAACAAAATGACATTTGTATTGCACCTTTCACTTTGGGAAGATGTCCCAAAGCGCTGGACAGTCAGTGTTTCAGACTCGAGCTGGGGGTCGGGATTGGGGAGGGTGGAGGGTAGGGCAGAGCGAGGCAGAGGGACTGCAGGATGGAGTTCCAGAGGGTGGGGGCAGAAACCCTGTCCACCAATGGTGGGGCGGGCGAATCAGGGGACGTGAAGCAGAGGGAGTGAGCAGGATAGTAGGGGGTTAGGAGGTCACAGAGGTAGGGGGGAGCAAGGCCATGGAGGGCTTTGTAGGTGGCAACCAGGATCGTGAACCGTATGAACAACAGCAAAATTACATTTATAGAGCGCCTTTCACGTTGGGAGGACATCCCAAAGCGCTGTCCTCTGTGTCCATCTGTATCCATCATAAAGTGCATTTGAAAAGAAAGGTGTTTCTCCCAGTTAACAGTTTGGAATATTTGACATTGAAAGTGCCATCTATTAGTTGTAGTTTAACAATGATGGCTGCAAACTAAATAAAGGTGGCAAAAGAAGCACAAAAGTAAATCTCAAGGTGGCTAGACAATAGTCATTTGATCACTGAGACAAGGTGATTGCCTTGAAATGAATGCCATTCACTTTGATGTTGCAAGTCTTGTCGGTTTTATTCAGTTTTTGTTGTCACTGTAGATGTTGACAACCAATATGCTTTGTCACGGGCAACCATTCATGCTGGAGAAGTATTGATTTCCTCATTAGTTCCAAAGATATTATGGCTGAGGTTTTCCAATGCACACTATTATTAATCAATATTAATCAATACTCCGTTAAAGTAATTGACAGGCAATAGCTTACCTATAATAGGTGAATGTATAGAACCATAATTTAATTATGGTTCTATACATTCACCTATTATACAGGAGACAATTATTTACTATATAATAGTTGGGAAATTGTCACTAAACCTTCAAAAGATTATTTGAAGCTTTGAGTCAGCCTGAATATGTCAAGTAGGGTAGATCATCAATTAGAAGGCCTTGGGGGTCGAAATTCCAGTTAGCGAACGGCACTTAAGTAAAGCCATCACCAGAATTTGGCAATTTCTTAAATGCCGCTTTAATTGTGAAGACATTTTTCTGCAAGTTCTTTCAAGAATTACAGAAAATCAACTTAATAATAAGATAATCCTTATAAATGATATAGCTCATTATCACATCATTGAAATGTATGGCACATGGTTTTACTGGAAAGCATAGTGACTATGTATTTTTGATCAATGTTTCACAAACAGCCATGGCGTGAATGTCCAATATTATCCAGGGAATTATTGACAGCGAGAAACTCCCTTCTCTTTTTGAATAGTGCCAAGGGATCTTTTACATCCACCAATTTGCGAAGAGCAAACATCCCAATAAACAGCCATGAAGTGAGTGAACAGTTTGGTTTGGGGGAATGTTGGCCAGGACACCGGAGAAACTTCCCTCTCTTTTCAAATAGTGCCATCTGCATAGTCCACCTGAACAAGCAGACAGTACCTCAGTTTTTACGTTCCATCCAATGGACAGCATGCAACAATGCAGCACACTCCCTGCACTGCATTGAAGTTTCAGCTTAGACTATATTAGATGTTTAGTAAGGATATCTCAAAGATACATATTTTAAGGAGGATTTAAAGGTAGTGATAGAGGTAGCAAAGTGGCCTTGAAAGTGAATCCTAGAGTCAATTTGAGTTACTTTAATCTTTCAGAGACATCTCATCGCCATTCTCTGTGCATTCAGGAGAAGGGAGTTTATGAGTACTTACTACAGGGATGTGAACCACCCATGAGCTGGTTGAGAGTGAAAATTATCACTGACTGAGACTGGTATCACCTACAACCACACCTAACACCAGGAGCAAGTGGCTAGCAAGCAGAAATGGGAATCCTGACTGACTTTTCCTTTTGAAACACAAGGGGAAGATATAAAATGTAGCGGCCAAAATGATAGCTCTACGCTGCCTGAGATTAGGTATTTCAGCAGAGATATCTGAACTTGTGATCTTGATCTCTATGTTGAAACTGGACAGCTGGGAGTAGTGTGAGTGATATTTGCTAATTATGATAATATTTAATAAACAAATAGGAGTGTAATTTGAAAATCACGATAAGTAGTAATGCTGTTACTTGTGCATTAATTGCTGACATGATTGCACTTTGATGGCTGTATCATAAATGTAATATCTCATTGTGGCAAAATAATAGCAGTTTATTGCTGATAGTTCAATGGTACTGCCAGTTTTTTTTCCAGAAGATGGATGCTGGAAGAATATAGATGAACTGTCTCCAATGTTGCGCTCCTTGCCAACTGTGTTGTAATTTCACTTGCCCATAAGCCCTGCAAACTGAAGAGCAGATGGTTGTTTAATGAATTGAATTGACTGCAAATTATTAGTTTAAAACATACATTACACAGATGTTACTTTCAGCAAGCCTCTTCCTGAGTTCATTTTCCTCGTTTTCACCAAATGTTCCAATCATCGGTGTTTATTGCTCTCATTCCCTTCATTTGCCAACTCCAAACTTTTGCTTATGCCAGACACCCATTCTTTCCTCCCCTTGTCATTGCTGCCGTTGTCATTCCCATTGATATAATGGGAAATCCAGTTCTACATAGAATCATTCAAGTATGCAGCACAGAAGGAGGCCATTCAGCCCATCGTGGCTGTGCCAGCTCTTTTAAAAGAGCAATCCAAATCAATCCCACTCTCCCACTCTCTCCCTGTAGCCCTGCAAACTTGTCCTCCCCAAATAATTATCTACTTCTCTCTTATAAAGCCTCGTATCCCGTACGCTTTTTAAACAGCTTTATCTACCTGTCCTGCCAACTTCAAAGATTTACTTATATGAACCCCCAGGTCTCTCTGTTCCTTCCCCCCTTTAAGATTGTACCATCGGCTTATATTGCCTCTCCTCATTCTTCCTCCCAAAATGCATCATTTTGCATTTCTCCACATTAAACTTCATCTGCCACGTGTCGGCCCATTTTACCAGTCTGTCTATGTCCTCTTGCAGTCTGATTCTATCCTCCTCACTGTTTACTACTTTTCCTAACTTGGAAATTGTACTCCCTATACCCCAGACCAGGTCATTTGTGTAATTATCTGTCAATGTGCGCTAAACTTACTGTTAAGAGTGGAGGATCACATCCACAGGTAGATAAAGCCAATGGGGTCCTGGGCTTTATATCCAGAGGGATAGAATATAAAAGTGAGGAGGTGATGTTGAATTTACACAAAACCTTGATTGGACCCCAATTGGAATATTGTATCCATTTCTGGTCTCCTAGCTAAAGGAAGGATATAATAATAATAATCCTTGCATTTGATATAGCGCTTTTCACGTCGGGAGGACGTCCCAAAGCGCTTCACAGAACACACTGTATATTTGTGGGCGAACGCGGCAGCCAATTGCACACAGCAATGTCCCACAAACAGTCGTAGATTGAAAATGACCAATTTATTATTGTTTTTGGTTTTGGAGGGATTATTATTAGGCTCTGTGTGGAGTAAGGAAACTTGCCCAAGGTTTCGCCCTCTGCCTGGAATTGAACTCAGGTCTCTCACTTGCAAAGAGAGTGATATAGCAGAAACGGAAAGAGTACAGAATAGGTTTAGGAGGATGATACCAGGGCAAGAAGGTTTCTGCTATCAGGATAGATTGGACAGGTTAGGTCTTTCTTCACTATAGAATAGATGTTTAAAGATGCTTAATGCAGGTGTTTAAAATTAATAAGGTTAACATAAATAGGCTGTTTTCAATGGTTGGGGAGTCCATAACCAGTATAAGGCTAGGGGATCTAAAAGAAAATTTAGGAGAAACTACTTCACGCAGAGGGTTGTGAGATTGTGCAACTTGCTGCTTGAAGCGGTGATTGAATCAGATAGTATAGATGCATTCAAGAGGAAAACTTTCACATGAGGGAGAGTGGAATAGAAGGGTATGGGAGTCGGTAAGGAATGGGCGAAGACTTTTGTGGAGTAGAAATACAAGCACAAACTAGTTGGGCTAAGTGCTGTACATTCTTTGTAACTTTGTATCTTGGTTGCATTATGTTAATCTTACTCCTGTGCTTTGCAGATACCTTGAGTGTACTGATGATAGCTCCCATCATTATCAGATAAATTGCTTATCCAGCTCACTCCATATTATCGCTTACCTTTGGCCTTTAATTCCTTCTTAAAGATCAGTCCTTGGCTACACACTTAACAGCAGAGTCAAGTGTTTTACTCAACCAAAAATCAAATTGAACTTTCTTTTTGTGCTGCCGAGAATTTGTTCAACAGCACTTTAACTGAGGACAAAAGAAACAGTTGGAAACAAAAAAACTGCAAAGAGAATATTAGAAAATCATGTTCATGTTAATATTTTATGTTCGATTATAACCGCTGACATTAGGATATTGATTTTTGCAGCTATTGAGGGAAATGACTGCCTGCCACACAGTATTAAAAAGAAACATTTAGCTGAAATCAATTTGCTTTGCAATTTGCTTTGCAACTTGTCTGTCGTGCATTTTTGCCTTTTGGAGCAATTTCATCTGCGGTATAAGCTCTGTTGGAGTTTTTAAAATATAAAAATGTAAATTGAAATATTTAAAAATAGCAATGATAGGAAAGAGGATCTCTCTCCCAGAGATGTGATATGACATAGGGTCACACAAACCTGCAGCCATCAATCTGTGCCTTCACTGTTGACACTCTTCAGTCTCGAGATAGGGTCAAAGAATGTTCATCATTAGCGACTAAATGTTCACTGCATTGTGATCGCTGCTCACAACCGACCAGCTGGGATCTAGAATACAGCAAGAGATATTTTTAAAATTAAACTCAGGTTGTTATACGTTTGACTTAATTTAAGGTGAACCTGTAACACAGTCCTGTAGCGAATTGGTTAGGGCACTCGCCTTGCAAGCGAGAGGACCTGGGTTCGATTTCTGGGCAAGGTGAAACATAACTGGAAGCAGTCCTGGAATTAACTGGAATTAACGGAATGCTTTTATCCATATGCATGTCCTAATTGGTGACATTAGATCTGATATCAAAAATGCAAGGATTAACTTGCACTGTTTGCAAAAATAGTAATAATAATCCTTACCTATAGGATTTCACGTGGGGAGGACACCTGAAAGCGCTTCACCGGATTTACTGTGGGGATTTGCGGGGCAAACACGCAATCAATTTGCAGTGATGTCTCACAAACAGCCATGAAGGTACGGAGATTCACTGATCAAAGGAACTTCCTATTTTCCATCTTGTCAAGATTGCATGACTTTATTCAAAAAGAAAAATGGGTTTCCCCGGTGTGCTGGCTTACAATCCTCTAGACCAGGGGTGGGCAATTATTTTGGCTGGCGGGCCACTTCACTAGTTTTGGTAAGCTTCACTGGCCACACATTTAATATAGATGCAAATGCTTAATAATAGCTCAAAATCAAGTCTTACACTTGCACATGCATAAAATAAAGTCTATATAATTGACATTCATTAAAATTAGGTTAAATAAAAACAATCACTGAGCAGACATTTATTCAATATTTATTCATTTATTCACATATTGATGAGAATGTGAGAAGTTCACTCAATGGGAAGAATGAAAGTGTTGATGTGCGTTAACCAGACAATTAAAGTCAGGCATCATCTCCGTTGTTGCAATACGGAGTACTGCTTCAAGGTGGTCATTAGTCATCACAGATCTATGTTTTTGATTTATTGAATTTCATCACAGAAAATGTCTCCTTGCATATATATGTTGATCCAAAAGCACAAGCATCCTCCGGGCATGAGCGTTTAATTTTTTAAAGGTATATTCATTAAGAGAGGCGTAAAAACTGGGAAGCGGCACTGATTTGAATTGCTCCGCAAGCAATGGATCACATCGCAGGTCAATAAGCTTGACTTGGAGGTCAAATGGGGCTTTGTCAACATCAAATGAGAAAGGTGAAGAGACTAAAACAGGTCATTTTTGATCAAATTGAAATCCTGGAATCGGCAAGAAAATTCTGCATGTAAGTCAAGTAGTGACAAAGTATACTTTTCAAGACTTTGTTCGCAAACAGTAATGTGCTGCAAAGTTGGGCAAACAGCCTGTTTCCTATCTGACGTGATAAAATAAATAATTTAGTCATAAATGACTTAACACTGAAATACAAATTGTGCACAAAGGTCCCCTTCTGTTGCAGTTTTCAATTCAGTTCATTCATGTGGCCGATGATATCAATGGCAAATGTGAAATCAGAGAACCAATTTGCATCATTCAGCTGTGGGAAATCCGAATCTTTTTGTTTCATGTCCAAAAATCAATCAATCTCTGCTCTCAGTTCCCACACTCTTTTCAAGACCTTTCCTAAACTACAACAACAACAAGATTACATTTGTATAGCACCTTTTACGTCGGGAGGACGTCCCAAGGAGCTGGACAGAGTACAGCATTTCAGACCCGAGCTGGGGTCCGGGGGGGAGAAGGGAGGGGAGGGGAAGGGGGTTGGCTGATGGCATGGTCGAAGAGGAGGGTCTTGAGGGGATTGGGGGATTCCAAAGGTTGGGGGTAGAGTGGCTGAAGGCTCTCCCGCCAATGTTGGGGCGGGTGAGTCGTGGAATGTGGAGCAGGACAGAGCCAGCTGAGTGGAGGGAGCGGGCGGGTTGGTAGGGGGTTAGGAGATCGCAGAGGAAGGATGGGGCGAGCCCATGGAGGGCTTTGTAGGTGAGGACCAGGATCTTGAACTGGATCCTCTGAAGGACAGGGAGCCAGTGGAGTTGGGCGAGAGTTGGGGAGATGGGGTCACGGAGTTTGGTGCGGGAAAGGACACGGGCTGCAGAGTTCTGGATTATCTGCAGCCTGTGGAGGGAGGAGTTGGGAAGGCCAACAAGCAGGGCATTTGCATAGTCGAGCCTGGAGATGATGAAGGCATGAACAAGAGTCTCAGCGGCCTGAGGGGTGAGGTAATCGTGGGTCAACGAGCGGCAGGGCCTCGAAAACCCAGGTAAACCAAGCAGGACTCAGGGAAGGTAAGTCAGACAGCGGCGGGTAGTCACAGGGCTGGGCTCCCGGGGATTGGGACCGGTGTTAGCCAGAGCGGGGGCTGGGGTCCCGGGGATCGGGACCAGCAATAGCCAGAGGCAGGGACAGGTAACTGCCGGCTGGGCTGGGCGTCTAGTGGCCTTTGAGGTGGGGCGGGTGTTGCATGGATCGAGCAGCGGCCACTACCTGTCAGGGGGAGCTGCCATTTTGGACCTCCAGTTTTTCCCGCCATTCCGCGTAACGTCACTTCCGCCCGCCAGGTTTGAATCCCTGGTAGCAGCTACAGCACAGTATAGTACAGGACCGCCTGTATCAGTGTCTCCCTCCCTTAGTCTGTCTGTCTGCCCAGTCCTTCCCCTGCAGGCTGCTCGTTGCTCTCCACAATGAACGCCCTCCGCCCTCTGCTCCAACTCTCGCCCCATCAGCCTCCTGCAGGCTGACAATGTCTTAGTAAATCCGCCGCCTCTCATCCCAGCGTGCGCATCTTGGCTGCTGCCCCCAACCTGAGCTGGCCCTCCCTCAAAATGCCTCCCTCCCTGCAACTCTCCAGTTCTGTCCTCTCTCTCTCCGCCCTCCCCGTCTCCTATCTCTGCTTGACACCCCCACCTCACCTCCCACTGTTCCAACCTGGGAATCCTCCTCCGGGGTCATCGAGGCACTCGACGTTGGCTGTCCAGCAGCAGCCACACCGACTGCCCCATTCCTCACTACCGCTGCAAGCCACCCCGGACCCTGGCCCCGGGGGCTAACCTCTCCTCCCTCATTTGCGTCCCCACCCTCCCTCCCAACCATTCCCCAAACCCCTCCCATCCCACACATCCCCCTGCCAACTGTCCACTCCGCAAGGGACTTCAAAATGTCCGCTCCATCTCCAACAAGACCCTGGCCATCAATGAACTCATCCTCGATGAGAACATTGACATCATGGCACTAACAGAAACCTGGATCACCCCAGGTGACACCTTCCCCCTCACTGAGGCCACACCAGCCGGCTACACTTACCACCATGCCCCACACCCCAACCGTCGCGGCGGTGGTGTGGCTCTCATATCCACGGCATCACTTGCCCTATTCCCCTACTCCACCGGTTTGTTCCCCTCCTTTGAACACCTTACCTTCTGCCATCCCTCCCACCTCTCTCTGAAAATTCTCTTCCTTTACTGCCCCCCAAAATCCTCTCCCACCTTCATCTCTGACGTCTCCACTCTCTTTGCTTCCCTCTGCATCTGCTCCGACCGCCTCATCATCCTAGGCGACTTCAACCTCCACTTCACCACCTCCTCAGACTTCTCCTCTTTCCTCTCCTCTCTCAACCTCTCCCTCCACATCCACTCTGCTACTCACACCCACGGTCACCCGCTCAACCTGGTGATCACCCGGGGCCTCAGCGTCTCGGATGTCACCATCACTGACAAGGCCATCTCTGACCACCATTTAATCTCCCTCAACTCCTATATCCCTCTCCCCATTGTCTCCAAACCTACCACCATCTTCTACCTCCCGTGAAAGAAGATCTGCTCGCAATCCCTCTCTGCTGCCCTGGAGTCCTCTGATCTCCTCCCCCTCTGGTCCACCTCTCGCAACAACCCACTCACTGCGCTTACTCTTCTCCACAGCACCCTCTCCACCACACTCAATGCCCTTGCTCCCCTCACCTCCCGAACTGCCTCCTATTTCCGATCCTCACCCTGGTTCACCAGCCACCTCCGCTCGCTTAAGGTCCAGGTGCAGTCTTCCAAATACATTTGGCTCAAATCCGGCCTAACGGTCCACCGCCACATCTGGCTGGATCTCATCAAGATCTACTGCTCTGCTCTCGCCTTGGCCAAATCATCCTTCTATTCCAGGTTAATCCTGGAGGTGAAAGGCATTCCAGGCTCCTGTTCTCTACCACTAATCAGCTCCTCCGCATTCCCGGACATGCCTTGCAGATACTTATCTCCGATTCTCACTGCGAGAAAATACTGGGCTTCCTCGAGTCCAAAATCGATGGAATCCGCACAGCTGCCACTGCCCTCCCAATGTCCAACCCCTCCCTACCCCCAACCCACACAATTACTCATCTGACAATTACCCATCCCTCCTTTCACACCTTTGAACCTGTCACCCCCTCCTCTGTCTTCAACATGGTAACCTCCATGAAGTCCACCACCTGCTCCCTCGACTCCATTCCCACCCCCTCCTTAAATCCCAGCTCCACCTCCTTGCCCCACTACTCGCCGATATCATTAACCTCTCCCTGTCATCTGCCACTGTTCCTTCCCCCCTCAAAACAGTCACTATCACCCCCACCTTGAAAAAGCCTTCCCTCGACCCATCACAGCTATCCAGCTACCGGCCCATCTCAAATCTTCCTTTCCTATCCAAGATGCTTGAGAGAGCTGTTGCCTCCCAGCTTCGCTCTTTCCTCTCCTCTCATTCACTCCATGAAGCCCTCCAAGCTGGTTTCCGTGCTGCGCTGGCCAAGGTCACAAACGACATCCTGACCATGTGTGACCAGGGCTCCCTCTACCTCCTCGTTCTCCTCGACCTCTCCGCCGCCTTTGACACAGTGGACCATTCAATCCTCTTCCACCGCCTCTCCTCCCACCTCAACCTTCAAGGTTCTGTCCTTGACTGGTTCAGGTCCTACCTTTCACCCCACCTCCACTTCATTGCAGCAAATGGTTTCTCCTCCAGCCCCCACACTGACTTGTGTGGTGTTCCTCAGGGCTCTGTCCTTGGTCCCCTCCTCTTCACCCTCTATATGCTCCCCGTTTGTGACGTCATCCGCA